TGGATCTGCGAACCCTGAGGGGAGGGATTTGATGGAGGCAACCCATTTTCGACTGAGTACTCTAAGATATTACTCTCTGCACACTATCCTCCTATGGGTGTCTTTATTTGTTCCCATCTACTTCTGGAAGAAGCCTCTGACGCTGGATGAGCAAGACACTGTTTGTGGTGAGCAACCAATAATATTAGCAGTAACCTAAGTTGTTTGGAAGTTCCTATGGGGCTCCTTTGGTCAACACATTAATTAGGTGTAATCCATTCCTAGAATTAGAGGCCTTATTTGGTGACTAGAGATGTCCAGCAGGGGCACTGTCTCCCCCATTATTTGCCCATTCCATTTAAATCACCTTCATATACATATATATTATAGGAAACTTATACTGAATTAGTTTTCTATACGACACCTCATTTGGCCCTTAATTTTAACTGTCTCTCCTCATATTCCCTCCTTCAACCTCCTGTGTTCTCCCCCTTTTAATCCTGCCATTCTAGCCATCACTATCCATAAACATCTGTTCTATTTCTCCTTTCTAGCATGATCCAACCCTTCCATCTAGACCCTTATTCTATACCTGTTATAACAGGTTATCTAGGAAAAATCTTAGACATCATGAATACACGAGCATTTATGGTATACTAAATAAGATTTTTAAAATATCCATATCTTAATTACTTTTTTATTAGTGTGATAAGACACAATGACCAAGTCAACTTGGAAAAGAAAGTTTTAATTACTGGCTTGCTTACAGTTTCAGAGGGTTAGCCTGCGGCCATCATTGTGGAGAGCATGGCAGTGGGCTGGCAGGCATGGGAATGGAATACTAGTGTGAGCTCACATCTTATCTACAATTAGAGAGAGAGAGAGAGATTGAGAGAGAGTGGGATGGAGGAAGGGAGCTAGGGGAGGACGGGGCAGGCCTTGGCCTGGGCCTGGAATGGGTTTTTTGAAAACTCACATTCCACCTGCAGTGGCACACCTCCACCAACAAGGTCACACCTCCTAATCCTTCCCTAAATTGTCCACCAACTAGGAACCAGGCATTCAACCATGAGCCTTAGTAGGTCATTGTCATTCAAACCACCACATTCCTTTAAATTAATACTACAAAAATAATCAATGTATAGATATTAAAGGTTGTTTCTAAAAATATATGTATGGCATTGATATCTGATTCTTCTGGATTGTTTTTTAATTTCTTTTGGAACTGTTCAAAAATACTTTATTTTGAGTTTTTTCCTTTAATCATAAATAGGCAAATATCAAATTTTGTAGATTCAGGAACAAAAGCAAAATTATGAGAGGAAGAAGACAATGTTACTTACTTTTAATATCTTCTGAAAGCAACCACACACTTGAACTTCATATGTATATGTCTCCTCTTGTTTAGATATTATGTTTATACTGACCTTTTAAAATGATATACATAATTAAATAAGGTTATATAATCGCCTATGATATTCAGAACTTATAATTAGGTTAGTTAGGTTTTCTAGATTTACAGAAATGTATTTGAGATGGATAGGCATTCATCCTATCCTAAGGATAGGCAAACCTCTCAAAGACCTACAGAAATATGGCATTTAAATGGTCTAGGGTTTTCTTGACTGTAAGACACAACTGCTCCTGGCACACCAATTATGTCAAAAAAGGAGGATGGACAACAAAGAAACTCATTATGGAGTTTGCTTTCAACATGGCAAGATTAGCCATTTGAGCAAGAAACTGCTCTTGCCTGGACTGTTTATTGCTGTATAAACTGGAAATACAGGACCCACAAGAAGTGACTCCTGAACTTACAAAACAAGACAGTACTGAAGGGTTCCTGTTGAAATGGAGAAGTGTGCCAGACACACTATGGGCTATGGGCTAAAGATGGATGCCCCAACATTACAGGTAATGTTGGACAGTTTGGATGACTGTCCAGGTAACGGATGTCTCTGTCAATTCTAGGGTTTATATATTATCCTTCTGTGGTCTTTGATAGAGTTAAAGACAGATAATTATGGTTATAGTTTTCTTCAGTTATTATAAAAGATAAGTTATCCTTCTTTTATTTAGACAGAAAAGAGGAGATGATGGGGAATGTACTGTGTATGTTTATCTTATTGATTGTTAAATAAAATACTGTTTGGCCAATGAAACAAGTTAGACAGGACTAGGAGTCAAAGAGGATTCTGGAAAATGTAGTAAAGAAATGGTGATCCAGGCAGGAAATAACATAGCAAGGAGACTCATTTAAAGAAGGAGAAACAGGAAGCCTCCCCCTTTTCCCCTATGCTCCTGCTCCAGCATCACAATGTGATCCACTGGCAAGGAGGGATGTCAATAAGGCGTCCAATAAGACAAGTCTTATAAAATATATAGATTTATGATAGTTAATACTGAGCTAACAGAGGAGAATCCTAGTCATTGGCCAAGCAATTTTGTACCTAATACAAGTTTCTATGTATTCATTTGGGCCCTAATTCAGGCGGGTGGCTGGCGTAAAGCTCACACATCACTATGGGGCTCAGGCAGCTTATGGCAGAAAGATTTATCATAACAGCTGTGGAGATGCTTGAGCTCATACATTGGGAAAGTATTGTGTACAAAAACATGTAATTAAAAGAGCTGGAGGTAGATCAAAAAGAAAGATTTGATAGTTGTATTTTTACAGATGCAATGTGATATTTTGAAGTAGTCTCAACATAGACCTATAACAGAAGACGTTTATCTTCATTATCCTGTGCTATTAGAAGTCACAGCAAAACTGCTAAATCAGCTAAGCAAAAGTCTTTTAGGAGCAATAGATATTGAACAGATAATGTGGCTTGTCAAAGACATGAGGAAAATTGCCATGGCAGCATGTTCTCCTTCAACAGCTTTCTTAGAATAAGATTCTTGGTCATATTATTAGTTCCCCTCAAAATTAATAAAGAAACTTGTACATGTGCCTATGGAGGCTTGGCAAGCTTTTAAGTGATTTATTATGTTATTTGATCTATATTGTTAGAAAATCAGTTTTTCTTCTTTATGTGATGGAAAGTGACAAGAATAGAACACTCAGAGATGAGTTAGGAGGCTGCTGTGGTCTGGATGAGAGACAGGAAGCTGGATAATTTTCAGCAGCAGAGAGGAAGGAGAGAACACAGCCTTCATATCCCAAACAAGCAAGGCTCTGAGAGTTAGTGCTGTTTTCTGTGAAAACTATAAGTTGATAACGTAAAACTTAATTTAATTTTTATAAGCCATACAAATCCACATAAACCAAAGAGACTTATATGTAGACCTAAATTTATGTATTCATAAATTATTAATAATTTATTTATTGTAAGCTCAAAGAAATTGTTTCACTTTAGTAATATTTTTCTTCTTGCTGTCTTATTGTCTCTGTTCATTATTTTATAGAACAAGAATACTTATGTTTCTAAGTCCTGTGTGACAGCATGGTAAAATTTTTCTAGTAAATTAGAAAGATAAATAGAAAACCAATAGTCAATTAGTTCTTCCCTGGAGCTGTAAAATATCTTTTCTCAAAGTGGTTTTTTTTATGTCAAATCCTAGTATTTATGGGGATTAATATATATGCAACAAAGGAGAAAGGAATGAAAATGTACAACTATAGAAAATACAGACTGAGTAAAAATTAAAGTTTCTTCTCAAAAGTACTGTGCCCCTTGGCCTCTAAAAGGATTATTTGACTATGGAATCTTTGTTATTAAATATCATACACCAGCACAAAACATGTATTCTAATGCTAGCCTACTGTTTTTATTCAGAAAATGGACATGTTCAACTACATTGAACCTCTTTCATTAAAATGTACATAAAATACCATCAGATGAAAAGAGGCATGCTTTGTGGTCACATAGAAGCCTATGTGATGGAAGATAGAGCTTATTCATTTGCTGGCAGGTATTGTGGATTCTTGTGCTGTGATAGATGTTGAGGGAAGCAAATGGGGAAATTAAAACAGTGAATCAGAGAAAGAAACTACTTAGATAACAATGTGACCAGGAAGGACTCTTGGAATATTTAAGATGAATATAAACAATAAACAGGAATGCTTTTTGAAGTGAGATGTCTGTGAAGTACTGAGGACCTATGCAAAGGCTGTATAGGGACTGGCAAGCAGTTGTCATATTTTCACCGATACATATACTGGATATCTTTTTCCCTCCCTTCCTCCCTCCCTCTTTCTCTCCCTCCCTCTCTCCCTCCCTCCCTCCTTTCCTGTGTTAGCATGGAGAAGTAAATCTATCCAGATCTCACAGACTCTAAATGTCTGAGTTCAGAAGCTTGTGTTTTATTCAGTGTGCCTAAGAGGGCTTTGCCAAGGTTTTAAGCAGTTATGCTATTTGATTTATATTTTAAAAATCAGTTTTTCTTCTATATGTGCTTGAAAGTGGCAGGAATAGAACTCTGGAAGGCAACTTAGGAGGCTATTTGATTTGATATTTGCTAAAGAGAGACTGTAGAATGCTTTCAAATTAAATGTCTTATGTGCATGTGTATGCATTTTGTAAAGCTGTATGTGTAGTCAAATGATACATTAAAATGATACTAAGATTCAGTTTCTTTTTCTTAATTTATAAAGATCTTTACCTTATTGGCCAGCTTCTAAGTGTGTTTTTAAGAAATTTAAAACTATATCCTACAGTATTCTTGTTTACCCCAGGGTTTTACACTAGTATCCACAAATTTATTAAGCCTAGCTGTGATTGCTTTTCTTTGGGGCTGAATTATTTATTACATTTTTCTGAGTGAGGCTATATCTGTGAAGGTGTGTCCATTCAATCTGGACAAGCCTTTTTATTTCCCATCATGTTTATGATCACTTACTTCTGATACATACATCTGCCTGCTTTTACATTTCCATTTTCTATGGTAGTCTTTACTTCCTACCAAAATTACCATTCTACAGCATGCCATTTCATCTTTGAGTTCGTTCAGACTGAATGCAAGCTTTTCCTGTTAGTGCAAAGCACTAACTCTCATGCTTTGCCCTGTGTCTCCCATAGTGCAGGCATTACATTGCTTCATTGCCCTTTGAAGTTTAGAAGAGTGAACTCAGAAAAGAGAATGACTTTAGAGGAACAGGAAGATGCAAATATGATAGAGAATTTGGTTGACATTGTATGACTTTCAACATGGAACTTTTCTGAAAACTGTGAGTTGGCACTATAAATGTTCTACAGTGCTGGGGAAATCTGCCATGTTTTAGTGGGTCATATTTGTAAATCTTGTTATATATATTCTCCTAGGTAAAGTTCATTTTCTTCTGTTCAGTGCAAAGAGGTGTGTTAAAATCCCTAATGTCGATAAATGTGCCTGGGTCTTCGGAGTGCTCATTCTGAAGCTGTGCTGTAGATAAAGTGGTTTTCCTGGAGAGCAGAAGTGTTATTTATTATAACGTAGCTCTGATTATTCCTAACAGCACTGTTTTATGTGGTGTTAATGTGGACACAGATTGACTTTTGTTAGGGTCTATCTGGCATGGCTGTATTCCAGTCCTAACCTTTTTTTTTCTTTTACCTATACATAAGCTCACATTTTTGTGATGTACAGTATTTAAATTGTTTTATTTTTCTTAATTCTGATAGATTATATCTTTTGTTGACTTGAAGTGGATGAGCTTCCTCTCTTCTTTTAATGGCTCTAAAATCAAACTTAACATCATATGTTTGCATGATATAAAGCCAGGCAAGCACCCTCAACTCCTTCACACAGCACAATATTATTTATTGGGAAAGGTTTTCTAGTGTGCACATTTAAACAATGATGCACTGTTACTTTCAGAAGGTTTTCATTTGAATGTTTTCACCACAAAGTTACATAAACAATACATGTATCAAAAAATTACCCAGGAGCCTATAAATAGGCTTTGATGAACCAAATTATTTATGTGACTGTAATAAATAGTGGTTATTTTGTTATCCATAGTTGCCACATTTGAGCAAACACTGTTGTTGCCCTTTCTCTTTTTCCCATGTGCATCTTACCTGAGGTTAAAGGAACCACTGTGTACATGATATTCATTTTTCTTAGAAATTCTTGAAATTCTGTTATCAAGGTGTTTTCTATACTTTGTTTCTGCTACCTGGGAAAATTATTTGTATTGGTATATTTTAAACTAATTATATCAAGGGTTTATTGTTAACCACATAGGCTAAGAATTTTATCTTCAAATATAACCAAGGGTAGGCTGGTAGCCACACTGTAATTACAAAACTGCCCCATCCTTTGGGAGGAGAGACTATTAGTAGCCCCATTTGGTGGAACTTTAGGCTTTGTCTTTGCCTATCTTGCTTCAAAACTTTGTGAAAATTGAAAAGGCAGTTCCTTAGTTTTAGTAAACATCCTCAAAGACAGAGAAGGAGATGGAGAAGATGAAAGAGCCTGGAAAAGGAAATTTTCTTCTTTGATACAAACTTTGAGTGAATTTTTGCTGAATAATTTTCTTACTAATTGCAGTTTCTTAAGTGCTATTAAATAATAGTGTATGCAACATGTGTGCACAGTCCATTGTTTTGCATTCTGATAGTTTTATTTTGGGGATGATTAAAACACACACAAACCATACAAAACAAAAATAATTGGAGTAGTTTGTGTTTTATTTTACATGTACATTTTACTTTGGTAAGATATTTTGCTGATTTTTAAAAATTATTTCTCTTTTGATATTAGAGTATAATTACATCATGCCTTCCTTCCCTTTCCTCCTCGAAAAGTTCCCATATAGCTCTCCCTCTTTTCCAAGGTCAAGACCCCTTTTGTCATTATTTAGAGTACAGCTAGTATGTCTAACAAATGGGTAATGAAAATTTGATACACATACACTGGAATACTCTTCAGCTATAAAGAAAAGTGAATGAACTGACAAGTCACTGGCTGGAACTAGAAAAGGTAATGTTGAATGGAGTAAACTAGGTACAGAAAAAAAAAAAAAAACGCAGCATATTTTCTCTCAGGGGAGGCTTTTCCCAACAAACCTTCAGATCTGAGCACATATCCTGGACTAACTGCAGGAGTCTGGGATTTAAGAAGGGGGCCATTGGCAGGGTAGCGTGTTGGGGATCAAAAAAGAGGGGAATAGCAGGCTACAAGTAAATCTCTGATCTGGGAAATGTGGAAAGAATGGTGCTAACTTGGGAGAGGGAAAGGAGATATCATAAGATGGAGGGTAATAAAACAGCAAGAATGTCAGAAAATCACACATACATACTAGCAACGTTATACAGACTGAGCAAGGTATATTTGGATATACCAAATGCATATTTATATCAATATGTATGTTTCCAAATATCTATATTTCCAAATACACAAACTTATAAACATACAAAAAGCAATTAAAGGGGAGGCCATGAATTTGAAGGTGAGAAAGGAGGGCTATATGGCAGGGTTTGGAGGGAGGAAAGGTAATGGGGAAATGCTGTAATTATAATCTCCCCAAAATATTCTTAAAACCAGTGTTATAGAGGAACATTTTTGGAATGTTCTGCTATATGTCATGTGCTACCTTGTTAACTTAGATTAAATTAATATAGAAGTATGAAATCACTAAATGCATTTCTTGAAAATGCTAAAAATATAATGATCATTTCTTTTTGTGAATTTCCTCTTGAAAAATTAACAAAATACAAGATTTCTATGTAAATATAAATTTGGGGACACCAGAACTATTAATGATATATATGTAATAATAAAACATTGTTGGTAACTAGTGTTGTAGACTGACAATCCATTCTCAATTATGAGTTGCTAAACTGGAGCAAGTTAGATGGCTCAGCTGGTATGCAAGCCTGAAGATCTCAGTTTGATCACCATCACCCTTAGTGAAAGAAAAAAGAGGACTCTGGAATGTTGTCCTGTGCCATTCACATGTGTGCCATGGCATTTCCATGTCTAGATTCACTTACTCACCACCTGTACTCAGGTGCTCCAACATACAACACACACACACACACACACACACACACACACACACACAAAATATTTTTAAATAGTTGGTAAACTGTTTAACATAAAATGGTAAGAATATTTTAGAAAATAAATAAACGTTCTTTGATAAGACATAGAATCAATAAAAATATATATTCATAAGATATAGTTTTGTAATTTAGTAAAATAGTATAGTATTCCTAAGTAAACATAGTTTTTAGCTAAATAGAAATAATTTTGCTTTTCAGATCAGTTACACTGGAGAAGTTAGCCAAAGTTGAGAAAGAATATTAAAGTAAAGTGTATTACTATGTGTTTTCTGCAATGAAAGGTCCTTCATTATTTGGCCTAGTGCAAATTATAATTTCTTAGCCATTTCCTTGAATTGTGTCTAACTAAATAAAAATATTGTAAAATCCCATGCTGGTGGGGCTTATAGTATACTGTAGTATTTTTGTTTATAAAAAGTAATTTGCTTTCCTGATATTTACATTATTGTTATTACTTATGAGATCGGGTCTTCTTGTTCACCATATTTATAGTATCCTTGTTATCCTTGTTTTACCTTTCTAGTAGTCCCCCGGAAGCTTGCTGTATTCTTTGTCACTGTTACCATGTAGCCAAGCAGACATGTTACAATAGCACAGGGAGTTTCCTCTAGGTTACCCAGAAATCCCAGAGCACTATTAGCTCCATGTTTCTAGCCCAGCTTTTTGGTACCTCTTTTTGTTTTATACTTCCCAATTGTACTTGCAGCTTTAATATTCAAATCCAAATAGTGGGACCTTCCATAGCATGAACTAAAGAAAGTTCATATTAAACATTCCTAAGAATTTCAGAATTGTAAATTATCTGTAGACTCTTGTCTGAAGGAGACCTCTTCTTCAATTGCAGCCTCAACCTAGTGGCAATAAATTAAATGTGTTTTATTTAATTCATTCATGATTATCCAAAAGAAGGAAGAGAAGGAAAAAATAAAAACTATTGATGTTATCCTTGATTTTTACAGCAAATTCTCTACTATCAGTTCCAAGTTCCCTATGAGTAGAAACTGAAATGCCTGTGTCAAGTGCTGTTATTATACCTGGCCTCATAGAAAATTAAGCCTAACACCTCTGTCTATGAATATCCATACCCTTCCAGAAGTAGGAAAATAGTAGCTATTGAAAACTAGAACTTTTCATCATATTAAGTTTTTTCATGATTAAGTACTTGTATTTTCATATCACTTCAAACATGAAAAAAAAAAAGACTTCAGTTCATGAGATCAAGACCATTATTAATTTCCCATATTAGGCAATCTGGTCACATTTCAACACAGAGCTAAACTTAATCAAAACATCTAGTGATTGGTAAATCTGTTACAGTTGTGTCCTCTTCTCTTAAGACTGGTTTTTAAAATATCAAATTATCAGTTTTAGGTAAGTAGGAGTATTTTCTTGATCAAAAGGAAATACTGGTACCGAAGAAATGGTATAATACAATGTTCACCACTTGTAGCTTGGTAGTTTGCAGGATTTATGACATCTCAAATTGAGTCTGCAGTACATGGCACTGATGGAAAGTGGGTGACGTGAGCAAAGCCACAGTACTCTCCCACCCTGACTCCAGTGAGAGGCTGATTAGGCAACAGGATCCTACCCTGGTGAAGTACTGCAGCTTGGCAAGCATGAGAATTAGAGATGCTGGAAATTCTGAGTCATCCTTTTGGGGTTTCTTTTCTTCATGGAGCCCACAATAAGGCAGAACATAGAACAGAATGGAAAAGGGAAATGAGAAGACAGAGAAAGGGAAATGTCATAACTATTAGATATATCAGCACTCAACTCTTTAATCACTCTCTTTGTCTGTGGGAGTAAGGATTCAGGGATAATTTTCATTTGGCTTTCAGTGTCTTTGCTAGGAAAGAAGACTTTTCCTCTCTCCTATGACGTAGTACAGGATCATTCTGGCCAAATGATGCAAAGAAATTTAGTTTTTCCTGTACTACTTTAGTCTGGTGTACTCAATGGAAGAATACTAGAAGGCTCCAAGAATTCTAATGGGACTTTTATTTCAAGCCAGTAATTTTAGCTATTTGTTCTAATATGTAGACAGTGGCTATGCATCGTTCCTGATAATTGCGTAGGTCTTGGAGTGGCAATGAATGCAGAATATGGGAGTATTCTATTTATGACCATCCTGTAAGCGGATTTGACAGCTTTGACACTGTATTCAACATGGAGGGTC